CCTGCATGGCACTGGCTTCAAACCAGACCCAGACCAACGGCACAGAACAGCAGACAGAGACAGCCCACATCTACTGACCCTGGACAAAGGGGCCAAGAAGACGCCTTGGAGAAAAGACGGCCTTTTAACAAATGGCGCTGGGACAGCTGGTTATGCTCGTGTAGGAGAATGAAACTAGACCCTTATCTCTCACCGGCACAAAAAATCCACAAAATGATCAAAGACCTCGGAATTAGACCAGAAACTGTACAATTCCAGGAGAAAATGGAGGTCAGCACTGCAGCATGAAGGCCAGGAAAGGACTCTCTCGAAGGACCCTAGAGCTGAGGAGATAGGCCCAGAGTGACCAAACGGAAGGGCATTGAATTAAAAAGCCCCGCACAGAGAAGGAGACAGTCAACAACGCGAAGAGAGGCCTCAGAACGGGAGAGAGCCACGTAGCTACCCGTCTGACAGACGATGAACATCCAGAATAGGAAAGAACTCAAACACTTCACACCAAAACCAAATGATCCAGTTGGTACGTGGGCAATGGACCCAACAGGCCTTTCTCAAAAGAAGAAATGCAAATGGCCAACAAATACATGAAAAAATCTTCAAGACCACAGCAATGAGGGACGTGCAAATCAGAACCACACTGAGGTTCCATCCACACCAGTCAGCATGGCGGCCGCCAAAAATGCACTAATAAGGGGTGCCGGGGAGGACGTGGGACCCTTGTCCATGTTGGTGGGACTGTGGATCAGTACAGCCACCGTGGAAACCCGTGTGCAGGGTCCTCAAAAGGCCAGGCCTGGCACCACCACGTGACCCAGCCACCCCCTCCTCAGTAATCACCCTGAGAATTAAGGTCAGCCTGCCCCAGTGACACAGGCACACCATGTTGACAGCAGCACGTACGTTCCCCCCAGCCAGGCTGTGCCACCAGCCAGGGGCCCCTCAGTGGACGAACGGATAACGGAGTTTCTTTTTTAATTTCTTTAATTAGTATTATTTTGTAGTTGTAGATGGGCAGATGCCTTTATTTTATTTGTTCCTCTTTATGTGGAGCTGAGGATCGAACCCAGCGCCTCACACGTGCCAGGCAGTCACTCTGTCACTGAGCCACACCCCAGGCCCACAATGGAGTTCTATTCAGCCATAAAGAAGTTTGAGATCACGCCTTTTGCAGAAAAGTGGATGAACTCGAGAGCATTATATTAAGCAAAAGAAGCCAAACTCGAAGGTCAGGGGTCAATGTCTTCCCCCCTCTGTGGAAGCAAGAGAGGAAACAGGAAAAGGAAGGCTGTGGGGTCGTCCCATGAATGTCATGGGAAGGTCCAGGGAAGGAGGGGAAATGCTGGGGAGGGACACGGGCCGAAGCGCACTGCCACGAGGTGCGCCACCAGGAGGTGGCAGAGATGTGGGGGAAGGGACGAGGTCACCAGCACAGTCAGGAAATGCCCTCGGGGGACGGAGAGGGCCACAGCTGGCCAACACCGCGGGACGCGCTGGCTCGGAGCCACGCGAGGTCTCGAATCCACACTGCAACCCAGCACCTCCCGGACCAGCACCAAGAAGCTCAGCCAAATCCAGCAGGAAGCAGCGAGGCCAGGGAGGAGACTCAGGGAGACCGCGAGGGCTTTGAGTAAAAGCCAACAAAACCGACCAGCTCTCGGCTACTGTCACTAAGGAAAGTAGAGAAACTTAAAAACCAGAAACGCCAAAGGAAACAGGAGGACCATCGCCGCGGCCGTGGAGAGAACCGTAGGGGACACAACAGAGGGACGACCAGGAGACAGACAGCTCCCACCGTGCGGCCGCCCAGCTCACCAGGAAGAAAACCAGAACCTCACTAGGCCGCGGGTGGTGAGATGCAGAGCCAGACTCTTCCTGCAGAGAGCAGCTCAGGGCCACCCGGCCTCGCTGCAGAATCCCACAACACACCAGCACCAATCCTCCCGGGATTCTTCCCAGAGAGTTAAGAGGAAGAATCCCATCCACGCTCGTCCTGCGAGGCCAGCAGGACCCTGCAATCACAGCCTGATGAGGACGCTACAGGAAAGCCAACCAAGATCAGTATCTGATGAATGTTAACCAAAAAAACCCTCAACAGAACACTACAGATCAGTGCCACAGCACGCTGCGAGCCTAGGCCACCAGCAGGGCAGTTCACCGGGGACGTCCATCCGTGTCGCTGACGGCATCAGCAGAACGAGGTGCAGCACCACTCGTCCCCTGGAGTGGGGCAGGATGAGCCCTAGGCAGATCTGACCCCCTCCCGTGACAGACACAGCGTGGAAGGGTGGCACGTCCGCCCAGTGAGGCCCGCTGTGAAAATCCCACTCAGTGTGAACTGGACCCAAGCACCAAGTCCAGCACCAAGGCAAGGATGCCCCCGGTGAGTGACCTTGAAGAGGGCGATGCTGGCTGGGCGTGGTGGCACACACTTGTAATTCCAGCAGCTCAGGAGGCTGAGGCAGGAGGACTGCGAGTTCAAACCAGCCTCAGCAACTCAGTGAGGCACCAAGCAACTCAGCGAGACCCTGTCTCTAATAAAATACAGAATGGGATGCCAAAGCCAACTAGGAACGAACCCAACAAAACCGTTAGCCAGTCTTGGTGAGAGGTTCCGGTTCTAAACTCTTCATTTACCATTGTTATCAATGTTAACCTGATAATATCAGTGACCAATTCTTCACCAACTAAAATGGCACACACTCTCCCTAAAACAAACCTTACTGGGTGTAATGAAGCCTTTCGAGAGCAATACCTGATCTAGGGAGACTGTGGGCTGTCACTGTGGACACACAGGCTGCCACATTCCCTGGAGTCGCCAGTCAGTGAGACTCAGACCAGCCCTTACTGCAGTGGGCCCTTCTCCTGTGTCCTCACGGAATCTGTCAACGAACGTTACACAAAGGACCACACGCATGCTCCTGGGAAGACACCTCACAGCCGTCCTTGCCGATAACAGCCAAACGGACGGGGAAAGTACAAAACAGGGCTGGGACGTGGCTCAGGGGTTAGCCGTTCCTGTTCAATCCCCAGTACCAAAAAGGAAAGAGGGTGACGCTGCCACCAAGCAGGGAAAGGAGCCGGGGAGACACAGGACGATGGAGACCAGCATGAGGTGCTCTGCGCACCACAGGGCCCGAGAGCAGGCTCACGGGAGCAGGACGCGCGGTGGACGGCCCTGTCTCTCAGCAGGACCTCTGCCTCCCCAGGTGAGAGCAGCGTGAACCAAGCCCGACTCCCACTTGCAACGTGCAGGGACAGCCCAAGGCCTGGCAGGCAGGGCCAGCGGGGCGGCCACTGGGCGCAGTCCACCTCCCGGCCAAGACTGACTCCAGACACTGGCAAGTGCCTCAGAGAGGCTGGGCGTCGGGTGTCCGCGATGGGGTGGG